GTTTACCCACCTCTGAAATTTCAGAATTAGAGAGTTTACCCACTTCTCAATTGATCTAAATGCACATCATAGTATAGTTTATGCACAAAACGTGATCACAGAATTCGTAGTTCACCCACCTCTTATTTTACCACTACACCACTGATCACTCCGTTCTGTAAGGGGATATGGTACACAGGTGGATTCTGGCATGGTTCAGCTGGACACGGTACACATGTAGTGTGATCACTAACCGTGCCCCAACATGGCTCTCACTGTACGTTCACACCAGGAGAGACCAAAGCGAACACGTCGACAAGGTCATTGAAGAAGCTTCGTTGTTGAATTTGCTTTATTCACTTTGTTCGCTCATTGGAATGTTTGATTTAACCGTGGGGCGTTGGTAAATCTATATATTAGAATTGGTTTTCACCGAACCGCGTCATAACTCATTACATAAGGTTAACTAACGTTTAACTTCTCTTTTTCGCTCTGGTCGCCCAATTCGCTTCGCTGCCAGTGAATTTGCTTTGTTCGGCCAATTCGCCGACTCTCCATAGAGAAATAATGACTTTCGTCGCTCTGGTCTCTTCTGATGTGAATGTACGTGACATCAATGACACTCCAAATAATAAATATTTGAATTAATTTCAGAAAGTTGGTGTTAATTATTAACAGTTTTTTTTCACATTGGAGAACTTGCAATGCGTAAATCATGGGGAGAGACCTATCTTTTCCCATGGTAATAACCAGGCTGCTGAATAGAAATGGGATGATTAGCAAAAGTGCTTTGATTGAATTGTATGACATTGTATTGTAGAGCATGAATTGTATGACATTCAAACTGCATGATCAGTTTGCATTGTTGATTAAAACTGGACAAGTTCTAATATTTTCTGACTTCTGACACTAGTTTGGACCCACAAGTGGCATGATGACCTAGCAACTAGCCATCCCAGACAATGCTGGCGTTTTTTTTTTTTTTTTTTTTTTTTTTTTTGAGGGGGGGGGCCCTTGCGAACCAGGGGCCCACACAACCCATAATCTGTCCCTGCATAGGGGGCAGGGCTCGCGGCACAATATCAGTCACACTGAAGAGAGTCAGACTCCAAGAGGAGCCCGCCAGAGATCAAAAGCACCAGAGAACAACCCAAGAGTGGAAGCATGAAAAAAATGCCATCAAAGAGAAGGAGACCTGAAGTCAGAGATAAAACCATGTCAAGCAGGGGATAGCGGGGCATGAAATGGCAACAGCAAGCTGAAGGTCTGACAGCAGTAACCCTCAGCAAGGGCTGCTGTCAGGGGACAAGAACAGCTGCCGAGCAAAGCGGAACTGTAGCGATAATACAGCCAGGCTTTCCAGAGCCCCGGAGTGCTGTTACTGCCAGAAGGACCTACAATGCATAATGGTGAAATGCAACTAAAACCAACGGGACGGGACATTAAATCCACTCTGCTCACTGGGACTTCTGAAAACCAAGACAGCAGCGAAGGCGCTGGTGATGCTCACCTGTTCTCTTTGCCGTTCTGAACAACGGTGTGCCTGTCAGCGGGTGTCTTCTCACTACACACATACGTGTTCCGCCTCGTCATCCCAGCAGACATGGCGTTACCCTGAAGTGAGAAACGGCATCTGCCGATCAGAGTGGCAACCCCAAGAGCACACAAAGGAAGCCCAACCTCATGGTGGCCATTTTTGACAGGCAGGGGAATGAAACATGTGGCAGCGCCATGTGACTGTGTGTATCTCTTAGCATCTCCTTCCAAATGCTGAATGCTGTCATGGGAACAAGTACTGGCCTGGTTCCTGGTGAAACTGACAGAAAGAGACCTGACCGAGCCAGACAGCAGCCCACACAGCTGAAAAACACATCGACAGAGCAAAACACATATCTGCCAGCTTTGAATATGACACACATGCTTTGTGATAAACACCCTTCAAGGTGGCCACTATATCATAACATTATATGTTTCAATTATTTAACCAGTTATTCATGTTCCAAAACCCTCACCTTCTGTGCCCCTGCCTCACAATGATTCTTTACTTTATAATTTCACTGGGTAACAACTAGAATGTGCGAAATCTCAGAGACCTCTGAGAATTACTCACTAATGAAACCTCACTGATACAATCCATCTTTATATTTTCCCTCTTGATATTTTCCACTCTATTATCATTAGCAACTGACTATTATCAGATGAGGCTAAGCACTGATTATTTACTTTAACTCCTTGCTGTCATGGTGATTGTCCCCTTTAGCCGTAAGTGATACTGCTTGAGCAGCCGTGGTGATGCCACAGTGATGCAGGTGGGGGGCACTCACGCTGGGGGCAACGGAGCCCTTTTTGCGGTCCGGAATGTCAGCCTTGTTGGGGTTGTTGGCATTGCCCAGCATGGGGCTCGGGGGGGCAAGGCCACGCCCTCCAGCCGTGCTGGACTTCCGTGGCTGCGTCACACCATCCTCTTTGAGGTCACCCTCAGCTGGGCTCGTGGGGCTCCGCTTGGTGTATCCTACTGCCGAGGTGACAGGGGGGCCAGCTGGAGGGGGGAGAATGCACGAGGGTGGGTCACACTCAGAATTTGAACATCATTCACTGATTTGCCAGAAGCCCCCAGTGTCTCACCCCAGTTGGTATACTTCATCCCTGACTGGCCCCCAGTGTCTCACCCCAATTAGTGCACTTCAACCCTGACCTGCCGCCAGTGTTTCACCCGTCGGTGCACTTCCTCCCTGACTGGCTGCCAATGTCTCACCCCAGTTGGTAAACTTCATCCCTGACTGGCCGCCAGTGTCTCACCCCAATCGATGCACTTCATCTCTGCCTGGCCCCCAGCATCTCACTCCAGTCAGTGCACTTCATCCCTGACTGGCCGCCAGTGTCTCACCCGTCGGTGCACTTCATCCCTGACCGGCCCCCCATAGTTTCTCCTTTGCCTCACCCATCTCACCCTGGTCACTGTAGCGTCTCTGCTTCTGGCTGGAGGTACTCCTCTGCACCTTCAGGTGGGAGGGGGACTGGCCACCATTGATCTCGCTGTTGGGTCTGGGTTTGGGGACCGAGAGGTGGCTGCTGGTGCCTGAGTCTGCAGCATCCGGCTAAATGGGGGGGTGACAGCATGTGAGTGCACAGCGCCCTCTGCGGCACAGTCTCCTGCTCTCTTGTAACATCAGTGGCTTAAACATACCCATAAAATGAATAATACCAGTACAAATAACAGCAGTAATCACTGTGCCTCTGACTGGCATGACTAACATCAACATCATGAACACCAGCATCCCCCTGATAGCTGTCTCATCTGCAGAGCATTTCCCTCACCTCTGAAGATTTCCTCCCCAGCAGCAGGTAGGTGGCAGTCATTTCATCATACACCATACGTGCCAGCGAGTCATGGATCTCCTCGCGGGTGTAGCCCATCCCCACCATGATGTCTGTGTACCCAAAGAGCAGGAGGAAGGCACCAAGTCAGAGCCAAGGAGGGGGGCATTGCAGCACTGTATTCTGATTGGCTTTCACTACTCAGGATACATAGGAAGCTAACAGTGAGTTGTGCGAGTGACCCTGCCATTCTCTCACACAGTAATGTCATGGACCAAATGTGTTCGGGAGAGACTGCATCCAAGCCATCCTGCAAATCTCCCTGGATGAGCAGAGGCATTCAGCAAATTGCAGATTTCCCCCATGGGGCTTCGATTCTCACTGTCCACTCTGGTTGTAGTACAGAGTGTCCACTCTGTCTTAATACAGCGGCATCTCACATCTACTTAGTAGTGAGATGCGTGATGATACGGTTTTTGATTGGCTTCAAATCTTTCCATCAGTCAATAGACCAGCTGCTATTGGTTGGATGTCCTGCTACAGAATGCCCCAGCCCCAGTCAGCTGGATGTTTTGGCTCATATCAATATTCACAAGAGGGGCGCTTCTTTAATATAGTCCCACTAAATAGCCCCCTTTCATGCCCAGAAAGATTCTTAAAGTGCTGGCTGGAGTAACGTCACACCAGGACGTGGTGCTGCTGGCTAAGCATCCTCTGTTCATGCAGGTATGTTACAGAGACGGGGTCAAAACACACAGCTGGCACACTCTTTATACTGGCAGAGTCTCCAGTGAGGCAAAATTCCCCAGCCAAGCACTGCAAAAAACAGGCCTGAGTAACAGATGGAGAATAAAAGCTAGTTCAGTACCTATCCTCTTCTGGTCAGAGATGTCCAGCTCCGGCTCCATGAATGGCTTCAGTTCATCCTCCTCAAAGCCGGCGTTGATCCACCGGTCCTTCATGATTTGCTGAAAGAAACCAGCAACACAACATTATATCACTTCACCTGAAGCAGTCAGAGGGGCTCTTCTGGCGAGAAGGTCATCTGGTCAACATCTATGGTTAAATCACATCAACATTAAATCGTAAACATCCATCCAATCATCCATCCATTCATCCATCCATTGCATACCGGTTTATCCTAGTCACATCCATCAACAAATGTAGATATCAAACCTTAATTTCACCTGTACTGTTCATAAATTTGCAGTATCACCAATATTCCCAGAAAAAAGGAACCTGACTCATAGAGAATGTGTGATGCTACCTATACTGCTGCTACCCTACACTGTGCCAAGTGGCCACATCTTTAATCTCACTAACTGGTTCCAATGATAATTTTGTGAATTATTGATACTTGTACCTAAATTAAATTTCACAATGCTACTGCAAGCTGAATACTTAGTTAGCCATCGGCCTCCACTTGAAAACCAACATTGTAAAAAAATTTGCAAGCGACCACCTACAAGCCACCTGATCAATTCAATTTTAGCCCCCTGACCATAGAGCCCCTTGAACACCTCTGGTACATTCGCATGCATATTTCTCTGTTGTTAGTGTGGCTACACCTCTGTTTCTTCACAGCTGGGGCTTAGGAGGAGTCCAGAGGCATTTGCTGAATTGTCGTCTTTGTTGTCCCAGTTCTCATGATGACCACACCATCTTGTGGTCATCATGCACATGCCAAAGCTGGCATGTGCATTTATCTATTTAGCAGGTGTTTTAATTCAAAGTGATGTACAATTGAGAAAGCAGGGTCAGCCAGTGCTGGGAGAAATTAGGAGCTAAGGCCTTGCTCAACGGCCCAATGGTGGAATCATGCTACTGACCGTGAGATTTGAACCAGTGACCTTCTGGTCAGGGGCACAGCAGTGTTGTTGTTTTTTGTTTTAAATCTATTACAGCAGCAACAGGATATGGAAACTTGTGGAAACAGAACTGGAGTTAGAAGGGCTCTAGTGCCTTAGTGAGCAATTGCACAAAAAGGAAGAGTAAAAATTGAACAGAACATTACCATCGCCATTTGCTCTCACCTCAAGCGTGCCTCGCTTGACAGGGTTCAGCACCAGAAAGCGTTTTAGCAGGTTCTCACAGTCCGTGGACATGTAGAAAGGAATCCTGTACTTTCCCCTCAGCACACGCTCACGCAGCTCCTGTAGGGCGCAGTAGGGAGCAGGGCAAATAAACAAACAGAGATCAATGAGTATTTATAATTACAGACCGGATATTAAGGCGCAAACAGAGAAAATCTACTGAGACGAAATGAGCCAAAACATTTCCTCGTACTAACCAGACGGGACAAGTCTCATTTCCCCGTACTAACCAAATGTGATGCGATGGGCCGGGCCTCATTTCCCCGTACTAACCAAACGGGACGCGATGGGCCGGGCCTCATTTCCCCGTACTAACCAGACGGGACAAGCCTCATTTGCCTGTACTAACCAGACGGGACGCGATGGGCCGGGCCTCATTTCCACATACTAACCAGATGGGACGCGATGGGCCAGACCTCATTTCCCCGTACTAACCAAACGGGACGCGATGGGCCGGGCCTCATTTCCCCATACTAAACAAACGGGACAAGCCTCATTTCCCCATACTAACCAAATGGGACGCGATGTGCCGGGCCTCATTTCCCCATACTAACCAAATGGGACGCGATGGGCCGGGCCTCATTTCCCCGTACTAACCAAACGGGACGTGATGGGCCGGGCCTCATTTCCCTGCACTAACCAGATGGGATGTAGGTAGTTCCTCATAGTTCTACAGACCTTGAGGTTCTGGCCATCGAAGGGCAGTGAACCGCTGACCAGCGTGTAGAGGATGACCCCCAGGCTCCAGACATCCACCTCGGGCCCATCATACTTCTTGCCCTGGAAAAGCTCAGGGGCGGCATAGGGGGGGCTGCCGCAGAAGGTGTCCAGCTTGCTGCCCAGCGTAAACTCGTTGCTGAAGCCGAAGTCAGCGATTTTGATGTTCATATCCCCATCCAGCAGCAGGTTCTCTGCCTGCAGGGGGTGGGATCGTCAGCAGGTTTTGATGAATATACCATAATGCAGAGTTTCTCAACACTGGTTCTCGGGGGGGCCCAGACATTCCATGTTTTTGGGGAAGAAACAAAAATATATCCTATCTGGGAGTACCTGAGCACCAAGTTGAGAAACAAGACCATAACGCATATCCTAAAATAAATGTATACATTATTGAAAGTCGGCTATCCAAATATTCTTTAAAAGCTTAATTAAATCATGAATGGAAAAAAAGACAATATCCTAAAATCCACCATTCCTGCCAGCATGTGTTTTTTATCTCTTTATTCACAAATCACCCCCAGGAAGACCCCCACACGCATGCACATGCACTGACACATGCACACACACATGCATGCAGCTCTTCTTACCTTCAAGTCCCTATGCACGATGTGCTTCTGGTGGCAATACTGCACTGCAGACACTATCTGAGGAGACGCCATGGTGAAGGTTAGCAACAGGGGGCTCAAGCTTAGCCAGAATCCTCATTAATCAGTACAACAAACTATTAACTATTAACTGTTGTGAGAGGGAACAAATATTAAAAGCTATAATTATTGCATGCAAATTTTTCCACAATCCAACTTGAAACATTTACACATACATTTTAACCAGTTGTGCATTTCTGTTGTAATTTTGGGTTCAAGGGTGCAAGGACACAGCAAACTTGGCGAATCCACAACAGAGTCAACAGAGGTGCCGAGAATGACTTGGGGTAAAGCTAACCCAGACCTCTGAGTCGATTTTCTAATAAAGCCTGCATGGGCTGGGGCAGGGGGGTGTCGGGGGGACATTACGGCCACATTGACCGACCCACCACACTTCCCAAAAACTGCAGAGAGAACCGTGGGGCCCCGTCCCTGGTCTGTTCCTGCCACAAGCACAGAGGACACGTGGTCACACCTTATAGGCTTTGTGCTATACCCTGAATCCTGGAGGAATAGGGGTGGGGGCAATTTCACCTCCTTACAGCTGCAAGTACAAGCCTTCCTGCCCATGCTCAGTAAGTCCCCGGGCCGTGGATTTTTTTCTTTCTTTCAAAGCCCCTACATCCATTGACCCAGACATTTTTAACCATGAATATACAGGACCTGCAGACCTCAGAAAGCGACATTCTACCACACCACTGCAGAACCAGCAACATAGATACCTCCTGATAGCCAAATATAAAAGGGTTGGCTCTATATGACCTTTCCAGATGAAGTACACAAGCTTTCTAGATACCGTATAAAGCTGCATCACACCAAAGCAGCCAAATGTAGCATATCCTGGCCGAACAGGCAGCTATTCTAGGTAATCTCAGTTAACACCCAGGAAGCGAAATGATTCAGCAAACACAAGCTGACAGCTGCAGTCTGTGGGTGTCCCATCTTCAGCCGTGAAGGTAATGTACTATAGGGACTCGCCTGACAGTACAGTGCAGCGTCTGGGCCATGACTTGAGCTGCGACTATTCTAACACCAGTTGGGTAGAAGCAGCCCGTGAGAGCCCAAGCACTGCACAGGAATTACTATATGAAGCTAATGGACAAGGGCGGGGCATGATTCTCAACAGTGGGAGAGCAGAGGGTGGAGTTTCCATGCTGGAGAGTAATGTCACGGATTCCATTCTTCCACTGGTGAGCAGATTGACCATGTACATACCCCCCTCACCAGTCAGGAGGTGATGCTTCACCCCAGCCTTGACACATGAAGGTCTCTGTGCCCTTAGGGTGGAGGAAGTGAGGTATGGACCAGGAGTACATGGAAACAGAACTCTGACACAAGGCTAGGGACGACCCGAAATGAGCACACTGCAGTACCTGTCTAAATTTAGCTCTGGCCTCCTTTTCCTTCAGCCTCCCGTGTGCGACAAGGTAGTCGAAGACCTCGCCTGCAAAGACAGAGAGCAGCGGAGCTGAAAGCCGCAGTAAGGAGAGAGTCACGCCACGTGCTGCTTCCCCTGGGTGTGCCGGTTTCACCTTCAAGCCACTGTCAGGAGACACGTGACACCCTCTCTGCTTGAGAATAATGAGCTGGGTAGGGAATACCACGGGTGACCAGGCTCTTCTACATCTCTGCAAGCGAAGCCTTTAAGCCAGATTCCCTTGAATTTCAAGATAACGTTTCCATGTGATCATGACGCGTTTCTGTTTAAAAAGCTCCCCGAATGACCAGTAGCCCTTATCCTGCTGTCCGATGATGCCTTTACTTTAACACATGACTGCTGAAGGGGAAGATATTAACTAGGGTAGCACTATCTGCAGCTGAATAAGCAAAACTGCTGCTGGAACAACGTGCTGTATGGAGAGAATGGAGAAGAGCAAGAGGAAGACTAGTTATGGAAGTAAGTGGGTCAGATTCTGGGAAAATCTATATTTTAATGTCACTATAGGCCCACTGCTAGACCTGCAGTCTCGGACTTCTTGTGCTACCAGAAGCTTCTGATTGGACCAGTGGTTTGTGTTTGTGGGTTGCCAGAGCCTCCTGATTGGACTTGCTGTTTGAGGGCTAACAGAAGCTCCTGATTGGAGCTGCGGTATGTGCTTGTGGGTGTACAGAAGCTTCTGTTTGGGGTTGCTGTTTGTTTTAGGGCTGCCAGAAGCTCCTCATTGGAGCTGCAGTTCATGGTCTCTTCAATATTTACACAACACCTTTCTCATACCTACAAATAAGCAAAAGTAAAAGCAAAGAGAATGCCTTCTACATTAGGAGTGTCAAAATTACTTCTATAGGACTGTGCATATACAGGTTTCCAGTCCAATCTATTACATCAACTGGTTTAAACACAAATTCATCAATCTTTGCAAAAAGGCCAGTGCTATAATACTCGACATATTGGGTCATAAAAGTTCAATAGGGTTTCACAAATATGTCACATTTCTATATAAACACCTGTGTCCCATGCAAACAACTCCCCCACCCACGCCCCCACTCACGTATCCCATATTGGGGGCATTGGCTGCATGTTAGCGACATGCAGCATGACTCATCTGTCCTCCGGCTCACATCATTACCAGAGTGAGAAGTGTCCCTCCCCCACCCTAGCTACCCAATCATATCTCCGATCTCGCATCACGTGGAGATGGCAGTGTCACCTCACCTCCACTGGCATATTCCATCACCAGGTACAGCGTCTTTTCTGTCTCTATGACCTCGAACAGCTTAACTGTGGGAGAGAAGAGATGCAGAGGGAGGGGGGCACAGACAGTTAACTCTACAGACAGCAGCAGTCGGTCTCAAACTCCGCAAGAGATTGAGAAAATAGGTTTTACACACACAGAGTCTGAGACAATCCCAGACACTCCCCAAAGTAATATGCTTCTGAAGAAGGAAGCTACTCAGCCACTGCTCAGCAAACCTTGAAGGTGCACATGATGACACAATGAACATTTTAGGCTGCGACAGCCCTCCACTTTTCATTCTACAAACTTGGTCTGGATGAGTTTCACAGTAACACTCATTATGACTATATGATTGTGTAAGGGCCCAAAAGCCCCAGGTCCAGAGGCACTGCACACTGCTGACCTCCTCCTCCCTGACAAAAATAAAGCATCACTATTCCATGATGCATTTATTCAGCCTTAAGGTCACCAAGTCACATGAAACAGGACCGTGATCTTCAGACAAAGCACACTTACACACTAATAATAAATAATAATAATAGATCCTTTATTGTCCCCGTGGGGAAATTACTTTTTACGCCTCCCTCAACTTGATCTTTGCAGAGTAAGTTGTCCGCAATGGGCAGCCACCTATAGCAGCACCCAGGGAGCTGGGGGTTAAGGGCCTTGCTCAAGGACCCGCAGACGTGCTGAGGCTGGGTTTGAACCGGCGACCTTGTGATTACAGGCACACAGGCTTAGCCCACTGAGGGGTGTAAATAGTCTATTCGATTCAACAATTATTGGTGGAACAAGCCAATTTATTGGAAATCTTTTATTTAAATCACAAATACTACAATGGGAACTTAATTGCACATTATTAATTATCACATTCTTTTTTACTGTTATTATTAAACAGGGAGAACATGCCAAAGTACAACTGGCCAAAGGCCTACTGCTGTACTGTACAGAAAAAAAAAAAAGCACATTAAAGAGGTACCTGATAGGGGAGGGGGGGGACGACGATAGTTTGCTTGCGCAGATTAGAGAACAGGTGTTACATTTCTTTATCCTCTGGAATACGAAAGATCATTCTGTTGGCCATTCTAAATAATGAATCATAAACATGTCATTGGCCGGTACTCTGAGAATTCTTCTAGGAGCTGATAAAATCCCTTGTCCAATGGAAAATGGCTGACTGTCTAATGCATTCATCATTATTTTGATAAGCTGTGTCTTTAACACTGGTACTGCTAACTTTGAATACTTTGAACTTTGAGGTTTGATTACAGGCCAAGATTAACAAATTGGACCAGTACCGATATCTTAATTTTTAAAATATTTTAATAGACACGATTATGTTAACTAATATGTCGTGCATCTCAAAGCCTAACATTATTCTTCAATTGACTAGCTAGTAAGCTAATGTTTTTTTCCATTGCTACTGTATTTTGAAAAAAGAATGACTTTCTTGCGCTACCACACAATGGCATTTCCCAAAAGCATTCTAGCACTCAGATTATCTTAACCAACAGAGAGAGTATTCTGTGCTACAGGGGTAAGTTTCCAAAAAGCATCATATTGCAAAGATCATCTGGCAGCACTTTGTTTATGAATATTAATGAGCCTTTCCGTGCCATCCTGTGTTTTGGAAATTTGCGTGCTGGTATGGCTACTTTGCGTATCTATCTGCAACAATTGAAGAGTGTGCAACTTGGAAGCAGAAGTGTGTTCTTTACCCCTAAAAATTGACTTTACAGGTCATGCCACCTTAATAATCGACTCATCACGATGTATCTGTATATCTCTATTACACACTAATAAGGTTATGGGGGCTAAGCATGTCACCACACCCAGACAGAACGTCAGAAAGGGCCATTAACAGTGGGGCTTTAATCCTGTAGAACAGCAGGATCTGCTGTCCTAGCACCTGCCATGCACATCTCTCCACAGCATCACAACAGCGGCAGCCTAGAGGCTGATGTGTCATCAAGCCCATACACGGATTCATGGGAAATGCTGGTGCATTAAAACAACGTCATTCACAGGCCTGTTTACCACTCAGAAAGTGCCCCAAGGAACTCTGAGAGACAGCCACGAGACAATACTCAGCAGACCGTCTACGGGTGAGAGGCCCCGGAAACCCAGAGAGGACTCAAGCGATGACTGATCCCAATTGTTACTGGGCTCACTCTTGACACACATCAATAGGGCTAATGTGTTTGAAAGAGAAGCACTTCTGAGGAGCCAGCTGTCATCAGTGTGGGAGACTCTCAGTGTTCCAGATTCACCGATTGTGTCGGGTCCACATTTGATTTACTGAGGCCCTCCAGCAATCTCCAATGCCCAGAGAGCATGGACCTCAAGTTTCCAGAAGTGCATTGCGATTCTCCCATGATATTATCAAAAAAGCATGAGAAACATGTCTCATGTACAGTGGATATAAAAAGTGTACATACCCCTGTTAAAATGCCAGGTTTTTGTGATGTAAAAGAATGAGACCATAATAAATTATTTCAAAACTTTTCCCTCCTTTAATGTGACTTATAACCTGTCCAATTCCTGAAACTAAAAAATAAAAAAATTTGTTGAGGGGAAAAATATGAAAAATAAAAAAAAACATACAATAAGCTGTTTGCAAAAGTGTGCCCACCCTTAAACTAATACTTTGTTGAAGCACCGTTTGATTTTATTACAGAATTCAGTCTTTTGGGGTACACACCTGCCATCAATGAAAGTGACTGATTAACTCCAAATAAAGTTCAGCTGTCCTAGTAGGATTTTCCTGACATTTACTCAGTTGCATCCTACAGTAAAAGCCATGGTTCGCAGAAAGCTTACAAAGCATTAAAGGGATCTCATTGCTGAAAGACATGTCAGGGGAAGGGCACAAAAAATTTACACAGCATTAGATATACCATGTAACTCAATGAAGACATTCATCAAAAAGTGGAGAAAAATATGGGACAACAGTAACGTTACCAAGAACTAGACGTCCCTCCAAAACTGACAAAAAGACAAGACAAAAACTGGTTAGGGAGGCTGCCAAGAGGCCTACTGCAACACTGAAGCAGCTGCAGAAATTTCTGGCAAGTACTGGGTATGTACTACATCTAACTACAATCTCCTGTATTCTCCCTATGTCTTGACTATGGGGTCAGGTTACAAGGTTAAAAAGAAAAACATCCAGGCCCAGCTACATTTTGCAAAAACGTACATCAAGTTTCCCAAAAGCATGTGGGAAAATGTGTTCTGGACTGATGAAACTAAAGCTGAACTTTTAGGCCACAATTCCAAAAGGTATGTTTGGTAGCAAAACAACCCTGTGCATCTCCAAAAGAACATCATACCCACAGTGAAGCATGGTGGTGGCATTATCATGTTTTGGGGTTGTTTGTCTGCAGATGGAACTGAGGCTTTAGTCAAGGTGAAGCAGATTGTGAACAGTTCCAAATTCCAGTCAATGTTGGCCCAAAACCTGCTTGAAAGAGGAATTCCACCTTTCAGCACAACAATGACCCCAAGCATACATCCACATCAACAAGAGAAAGGCTTCACCAGAAGAAAATTAGTTTTTCCAAAAAGTTTTGGAATGGCCCAGCCAGAGCCAACTACAGTAGCTCAATCTTTGTCTCATCTGACCATAAAACTTTTCTCCAGAAGTCATCTGTCCATGTGGGCAGCTGCAAATTTCAGTTGAGCTTGAAGGTGTCGATTTTGTAGCAGGGCTTCTTTCTTGGTCGGTATCCTCTCAGTCTATGGCTATGTTAATTCTCACTTCACTGTGGACAGTGACACTGGTGTTCCAGCAGTTTCCAGTTCATGGCAGTCTTGAGCCTTGGTGGTTCACGGATTGTTCCTGAACATCCTAACCAATTTCCTTTCATCTGAGGGAGACAGTTTGGGTTTTCTTCCAGACCTTGGCAAAGTGGTGACACATCCAAATAACTTGTACTTATGTACAATTGTTTGAACTGATGACCTTGGAATCTGCAGTTACTTAAAAATGGCTCCAAAAGACTTTCCCAACTTGTGTAAAGCTACAATTCTCCTTCTTAGATCTTCAGTGAGTTCCTTGGACTTTCTCATCCGAGTATTGGTGAATCCAATGAATGCTGTCAAAGAAATCCCTTTTATGCTGGCAAAGAGAAACTACCAGCTGCAGTCAGTCATGATCACTAATGAGAAGTCCTTGGCCTTGTCAATTTAAGACATTCTAGAACCTTCAGCAACACTTATTAAAAGATTTAGGTGAATTTATGTACAGGCGCTAATCTACTTGATGAGATACGTTCCAAATGGCTGTCCATAACTTGAAATGTTCTTAAGTCGTTATTCAACAACATTTTAGGGTATACGCAAGTACAAAGAACTAGGATGCTGGAAGTAAACATGCTATGCTGCTGCACGGCGGGAGTAGCGGCCAGAAGTCGTACTAGGCGGAATTGGCGTGCAGAAAAAAAAAAATTGATGTTGCGGAAACGGGAGTTTGTAAGTAGAGGAGCGTCTGTATATGTTTCTGCCTGTATGTATAATTTTAACCATGTGTGGATTGCAGAAAATCCAAAATAAATGTAAACATGTGCACCCAATTCTTGTGGTTAAAAATCACTGACAATGTATATTGCAAAATTATTCCACCCTGGAAAAAGAACGGTTCACTGGTTCAAATCAATCATTAAAAGCCCAAAATTAACATGACATGCATGCCCCTGATGAGTGTATGTAAACTTCTGACCACAACTGTAGAAGAACAGGAGATATATGAAGTATCTTCAGTGTTCAGGAACATTAGAAACTGGGAGCCCAATACTCTGTGATCTGCTGTTTAGCAGCATCTGCACCGATGGCTCTCAAGTTATTTGCATAATTGAGAACAAATGTCTTTTGGTTCTCTAACAAGGACCTTAGTTGCATATATTCAGCCAGGATGAACAAAGGAAGGATAAAAAAAGAAAAATATAGGCCACTGAAGAGTAATGGCATTAAACGCAGACCTTCCAGGGTTGCTGGCCGCCCAGTGATAACAGGAGAGCAGAGAAGAATGCACAGCTTTCAGCAGACCTGTGCATCGTCAGGGGCTGAATCACCCTAAGAGCCAGGGCATCCCCTGCAGTCGTGTGGCTGGCCAGGAGTGACGAGCTTGGCACAGAGGACTGCATGTCACACAGAAACCCCCTCAGAGGCGAGGTGTCTGTGTGGCATCGGCAAGTAAGCTCAGCTAGTGACTAAAAATAAAAGATGGAAATTATCCAGACAATAAGTTTAAGAAAGGAGAAGGATTCACAATTGGAAAAACTAAACTCCATAACCCCTATACATAGACTAAAAAAGGTGCACTTATAAGCACGCAGTCTGCTTCTCGGAACAGAGTGTCACATTAGCATTAATCACAGAACAGACGCAAGCAGAGAACCATTACTGAAATGGAAGTCAAAAAAAGATGCTTACCTATATTTGGATGATTTAAAATCTTCATTATGCGCACTTCCCTGAAAAGCTGTGGAAAAGAAGGTAATGCAGATTAGAGCCTGATCACAAGTATCCACAAGCATCCTTGTTTGGATTTCAAAAAAAGCCCTTAGTAACTTGAGAAACAGCTTTAGACACACAGTCATTATTTCAATCACTTCTACATCACAGCCACAACTGAAAGATCTGGTTGCATGTAAAGTAGTTAAACCTTACTGCTGTGCCTGCAAGAGCCTTGTGGGCATAAGAAACAGCAGGGAAGTGCAGGAAATTAAAAAAATATTTGGGGGCACTGTCTAAAAATGGGAGCAACTACAAAATTTTGGGGCACATTTTAAAAACAGCAATTAATGCATAAAGTTTGTTTTTAATGTAAAAGCCCAGATTACAATATATACAGTAATCATCGGTTAAATTAAAAGGATTCTATCACTGTTCCAAAGAGAAGTGTGCAATCATCTGTATATGTATACAACTGTACGCGAGAAACCAGGACACAGTTCTTTCAAATGAAATAGTTTATGGTCTTATTTTATGCATCCTCTTTGCTGTTGAAGATCTATTAAAAATATCTGGGAAAATGAAAGGCAGTGTTTTATGACTGTAAATGCAATGCCGGTCCCTTCAACAAAATAAAACAAATATTGCAAGTTACGATATTTTTAACCTGTGAGCCGTTAAGTAATATTTTAAAATCAAAAGAAACAAACATCAATTATTCTTTGCCTCCATCAACTGTCCTATGAATTCTGGGAGTCTGTGCAACATCAAGACCAAAGTTCTTGCGCTGTCTACAGCCAGGAAGGAGTACTATTGGTTTTAACACACAATAAAAGGTATATCAATATAAGCAGAATTGTGTCATCCTATATCTGATTTTGAAAATATATCAATATACCGTGAAAATTCAATACAATCTCCAGTCCTTGGAAATAGTACAAGTTCTTGATGGGTGGGTGGCGAAGCCATGGGTAAGCTGATGATGGGTAAGCTGATGATCCATAGTCACGCCCCTAACAGAGATATATTAAAAAATAAAATTGGCATCTGCCTGTTATCGTAACCGTGTTACATAGTAGTACATAGCTACAGTTATGTATGTACGCAGTGTGAATAAAAATAAAATGGTGGCTTAATGTAGGATTAGGATATTGGCCAAAACTGGCCAAAATCAATTCATTTTTATATAGCGCCTTTCACAACAGAGTTGTCCCAAAGTGATTTACATGGATGTGTTGTGATAAAACATCATTAGAGAGTAGGGATGTAACGATACACTCAACTCACATTTCGATATGATTCATGATTCCGAGTTCACGATACGATTTTCTCATGATTTTTTTAAACATTTTTTTATGTTCCATGAATGCTTTTTTTAGGTGCACTGAATGCTCTATAAATGCATAATGAATGCATAATGAAGGTGCATTTAATATAAAGCGGTACCAAATAAACTAAAGCTTACATGTGCAGCTTTTTAGCGTGGTTTGCCCTTTTAATAATCTTCGCTCTGGCGGTGGTGAATCGAGTTCGCTGTGGTGCCGGTGGATATGCTGAAGCATGTCCGTTGTGCTATTTGTGTATGTTATCAGTCTTTTACAATGTTTGCACGCAGTTTTTGTCTTGTCTGTGCTTTTCTCGCCGTTCTCTTTTGTGATTACCAGAAAGCTAAAACGCTACCACACCACCGTTTTAAGATCGGGGGTGTGTCCTCAATTTCAAATTCGCTCGCCATCTCGCGATCGGTCAAAACCAAAAACTAACGTATGACGTCGACGTGAATACGCAGTGACATCTGACGTCGAACTGACGTTGAGAAATATTATGTAATATTACACCAGTTTTTCGGTTAAGTAAAGTACCGTGAAGTACTCCCACAGTAGCGAATCATTTTCCACATCAGCCGGTTTAAATCGGCGTACATTTACATCGATTTTTAACCAATTCACGATTCATTG